CCCCAAAACCCCAAAACCCCAAAACCCCAAAACCCCTCCAGATATTTTAATAATTGAATAATTCTAAATAACAAAATAAGCATGAATAAGGTGTCCAAAGAGAACTCGCCCAAGCCAAAATCACGTGCCAAAAACAAGTCACAGTTTTATGAGTGGAAAAAGAGCAAACTTGACTCACCATATACCTCATATTACAGAGGAATTTATAAGTTAAAAGAAGGACAGAATAAGGTCGACCAATTTATGTTGAACATTAAGGCTGCACAAGCTGAATCGAAAAAGAAATAAACTTACAGTCACCCAAACTATGGAGAAGCAGCAGAAAGACCTGATTAAGAGGTTTAAATAAAATCCAACTCGAGGAGAATAAGGAAGAAATTGAACAAGTAAGGGATATCAGAGGTAAAGCACGAATCGAAACTGATCTCAAGTAAGCTCAATATTTCAGTACTTTTATACACTGTTGCCTCACCAATCATTCTAAATTTGTAATACAGGAAAAACTACAACAAAATTTCGGATGACAAAGGAATATTGCTGAACAAATTGATTTATTCTAAAGACCCAAATATGAATGTAGTAGTCGATCAAATTACAAAGTCAAAACTTAAACAGTCAATAGAGGATAACATTAAGGATGGACTTGAACTAGCAAAGATGATTAGCCTTGTAGACCAGAATAAGTTACCTCCTACACAAGCCTCTGAGCCTTCTGAGAAAAAGCTGACAACCCTAGTGAAGGTGATGTCAAAAGTCAAGAATAAATCCAAACTGAACTATAAGAATATTATCAATATTGATTATGACTCTATGAGCTCACCTTATCGTCCTATATCTGGGCCTGGACCTCTGACTACTAGAGGAAGCCTTACTCATAGACTTGGAAGGGTAGATATTTTGAAAGACAATGTTCTTGAAATACTCACTCCCAAGGATGCTCTCCCCATTGGAGTGTTCAACCAAGAAAACAAAGACATTGCAAGAGAATTCAACTGCAGGACTGCTAATGCTAGCAAGAATCACAAGTAAATTTCGTTCCCCAAATGCTTTAGATTCAGTTTTGAATTTGAAATAAATCCTCAGCCACCAACACCTGCTAATGAAAAAGGTAAATTTGAATGCTAAGAATCAGATGGAAACTCGAGCTTAATGACCAACTCAAGAATCAAGCACATTCTTAAGGAAAGAGCCAAGACTGAGAGAGGTAATCCCTCATGTATTATTCGTAGGGAGGATAAGACACTGTGAGAGCCTCAAAGATTGCAAACAAGAGAAAATCCTAATATCTCACCATGAAGAGTATGGAATTATAACTATTCTAGAGCCACCTCAACTCCAAAAAGAGTTAATTGGCAGGGGAAGCAGGTTAGCAAACGAAGTTCTAGCCAGTTCAAACTAGATTCTCTGATCGGTCATGCTCTAAGAGATAGTGATACCAGAGTAAACAGAATTTGTGAAAGACAAGCCAGAATGGAGATAAAAAGAGAGGTAAGTAGAGAATGTATCAAGAATAAATATATATATAGAACGAGAGCAAAGGAATTCATTTACACGTATGATTTCTCAAAGATTCTTGATTATATTGATATTATAGAAAGCCTTTATCAAGAGCAAAAAGCAAAAGCTTAACAGACTCAGAACAGAAAATGCATCAGTTCCAACAATCTTCAACAAAATGTATCATAAGCTTATGATTATTTAGGTCCAAAAGCAGCTTCAAGAATGGGAAATTAGATAATTTGTAAGAACTGATTTTTAAAAATGCCTAGGAATTTCATAATCACAAAGCAATACAATGCAATAAAGCGTGTGCAGACCACTTTCCGCTCATCTAGGCGGTCTCCATCGCTCCAGAACCCCAAGACATCCAAAAGGATGTTCAAGAAGCATAATCTCATACTATTCTAACCAGGACCACATCAGCCTATATAAAAATACCAAAAATTTAAATTTTCAAGCTTAATGAGATTTTAAGGGGTTTTGGGGTTTTGGGGTTTTGGGGTTTTGGGG